CTTCTTGGGTTCCCTCGCAGTACTTGTTGGGTTCCCTCACAGTACTTCTTTGGTTCCCTCGCAGTACTTCTTGGGTTCCCTCGTAGAGCTTCTTTGGTTCCCTCGCAGTACTTTTTGCATTCCCTCTCAATATGTTTTGGTTCCTCCACAATGATTTTTATGTTCTTGCACAAAGTTTTGCTTTACCACACAATACTTATTGCGTTCACCTGCAGTAGCTTTTGTGTTCCTTCACAATGTTTTGCATTATGTTGGAAAATATTTTGCGCTCCATTGCAATATGTTTTTGGTTTCTCACAATACTTTTTGCGAGGAAACACTAAACTCATAGATTTCGCTCGCGTTGCTTCTTGTGTTTCCTCACAAGAGCTTTTGCGTTTCCTCAAATCCTTTTACGTTCACTTGAAACATATTCCTGTATTATCTTATAATATGTATTTAATTTCTCTACAAACTATTTTGTGTTCTTTGCTATACTTTTTGTAGACCCTCACGATACATACCTTAGACTCTGAAGTACCGGTAGGTAAGCCAATACCTCATTTTCATAAAGAACAATAAATCCAATGCAACACACTCATTTTATTTAAATTAAAGAGTGGATAGTTGCACTTTTGTTCAGGCTCTTTTGTCGCCTCAATAACTAAATGAGCTCCTGTTTCAGATTGATGTTGTATTATGTTGTCTAATGTGCGAGTGACCAGACTGAGCTGTATGTTCCTGACACACCAAAGTTTATTAAACTTCATAACCCCGCAGGGTTGAAATACGACAAAGTATGTTCTCTTTTGTTTTAATATTTGCAGTCTTCTTCATCGTGCTCGTTTGTTACTTTTAACTTTCATCTAGCCTTTTTATTTGTTTAGCTTCTTCCAGCTTTTTGATACTTTTCACTACCCCATCACAACAAATTGCTCTTTTGCTACTTTTACTTGTCTTTTTCCTATTTTGAGATTTCAGCTAACATTTTAGTGTTTGAAGCTTTAATTTAGCTAATTTTAGCTAGTCTTTGATACTTTTAATGGGTCTTTTTTTTTTTGCTTTCAGGCAACCTTTGGCTATTTTTTACTTAACATTTTGTTATTTTAGCAAACATTTTTCTACTTTTGGCTATTAACTAGTGTTTTGCTCTTTTAGCTGGCATTTTAAACACATGAGCTCCCACACACATACAGTATGTTACAATAGCCTGGAACCACACTTTATTTTTTTGTCCAGTTTAAATGTTACTAAATAATAATTAAAAAAAAAAACTTCCAATCAACATAAAACAAATAAACAAATAAAAAATACAGAAGTTGAACTATTTTTTTACATTTATCACCTAATAATGTATATTGAAATAATCACAGTTGAAATAATCAAAGTTGTAAAGTTGTTTTTGGTGCAATAAATGTTTCAATTCACACTGTACAGATTTATAGCTTTTATATTTATTTTAAATATAATCTTTTTAATAAAAAATAGTCATATACCCATAAAAATTCAATGCATTTAGTAGTATTTTTTTTAAATGAATGAAATGAGTATAACCGTAATTAAAGTTTAATATTTGTAAATTTGAATTAAAAAAATCAGCCACTTTTCATGGGGCTGCTATATAAAACTGACCTTCAGGTGGCAGCAGAGAACTACAATATGTTTATTCTGCCGGAATTTTAAGCGACGAAGAAGAAAGACTGCCAAACCTCGTGAAGCGGGAATCAACTTTTTCCCAGCATGGACTGGTAAATCTCACAATTTTAAAACCTATAAACGTTTTAGACGTTTTCTTATTTCTGTATGATTATTATGTTTTCTACTCGGCTTCAGGTGATTCTGTTGTGCTAGCAGAAGCTAACGATGCTAACGCTCCCGTTCACTATGAATGCAGATGCTAACCGGCTAATTTCTGTTGACATGACGAACTGGAGTCATTTACAGTTCGAATTGAGATTTAACTGGAATTTATACGAGTTAAGAGACCGAACAGCGTACACACAGAAGTGCTGCTTATCCTAGATAATGGCATAAAATGGTAGTTTTTTTAGTGTTAACAGAAAGGTTGAAACTAGCCTCCTCTGTGCACAAGCATCTAGTTTGTTCTTCAGAGTAATGTAATCTGTAATATAAATATATGACTACTAATGTTTTTATTTTTGCATCATTGTGGTATAAATACCACATAAAATTCAAAATCACGTGTCAAATTACTAATAAAACATGAACACACAAAGTTGTGGACACTGACAGTGTCTGAACTTTTTGTTTTAGGAGCTCAGGTGTGCAAATGATTAAAACTTAATTTTGATTAGATGAAATCTTCATGAGACAAAATCAGTTTTGTGTTTATTCCCTGCCATGATTAAAACTGTTTGTGTAAATGTAAACAATAAATGTCATGTTGAAACAAAGTACCTTAGGGAAAAGATGTTTGTAAAGCCGACGTCTTTCTTTGTGATTTGAAGGGGTCAGAAGGAGCTGCTGTCTCCGGTGGTCCGAGACGATGAAGTGACGGTCGCCGCTCGCAGGAGGAAGAAGGTGGCCTGTATCCTCCTCCACACTCGGTGTTTGTGTTGCTGTGAAAACAGACGAAAATTATTAATCTGAAAGACTTTAGGAACAAATAATGTCTAATGTTTGGAAGAAGTGTGGTTGCTTTTGTTTTGTTTTGCCAGCACTAAAAGTAAAATACAGCTACAGTATTAATTCTGCACAATTTAGAGGTGGATAAGTAATCGGAGAAGATTTACTGCAGGGTTCCCAGCTACTCTGGAAGTCAGGGAAAACCTGGAGCACGACTTTCACATTTTCCAGGCAGGAAAACTCAGGGAATTTGAGAAAAACATGGTATGTGAACGCTGATCTACTGGTTAGATGATGATCGTTCATGTATTCATGCTGGTTTTCATGCTGGTATTCCAGTATCGTTGAGTCCATGCTGTGCTCTTACAGTGTGCCCATTTGTAATCCCTTTTATAACTCGTGACGTTCAACCGTTAAATCACTGCTACTTTTGTTTCATAAAATGCGGGGAACCCTGCACCGACTCCAATGTTTTAAAAACATAAAATCATAACTTTATAGATGTTAATTGAATGTGCTGCAAATTAAAAGGTCTGTGATGCAAAGTCGAAAAAGTAACGTGCTATGCGTCGTCATCATTGTATGTTCCCATGCAAAGATGAAATTGGCTCTGCATTTAACTCATCACACCTGGGATACACCCAGGTGGAGCAGTGGGCAGATTTGTAGGCGCCCGGGGAGCAATTCGAGATTGGGTGTCCTGCTCAGAGACACCACGAGATGTGCAATGACCGGGAATCGAACCCAGGACCTTCAGTTCCCGAGTCGGCTGCCTTGCCCCTACACCATCTCACCCCCTAATAGTCTGGGTACAATTTAAAAGTAGCAGATCAGTAGCTAAAACCTAACTCTTGCTAAACACTAAATGCATATTAAAGCTAAAAACAGCAAAAAGTTAAAGCTAAAAGTGGCAAAAGACTATCTAAATATAGTAAAATGGCAGCTAAAGTATGAAAAGGGGAGCTGAACGTAGTAAAAGGCTAGCTGGCAACTAAAAGTAGCAAAATGATACCTAGAAGCTAAAAGTAGCAGGACAGTTGCTTAACACTAAAAACAGCTAAACGTTTGCTAATAGTTAAGTTGCTGAACAATAACTAAAAGTAGAACAGTAGGTATGATCTTAAAGTAGCTAAAAGCAGCAAAACAGTAACTAAAAACTATAAGTAGCAAGAAGCTAGTTAAACAGTAAATGTAGCTAAAAGCTGGCCAAAAGCTATAAGTAGTAAGATGCTAAGTAAAGGTAAGGTTCAAGCTAAAACTTAGCAAAAAGCTAGCTAGAAGCTAAATATAAAAATAGCTAAAGCCTAGCTAAAAGTTGCAAAAGCCTCGCCAATAGCTAAAAGTGGTGAAAGCATAGCTAGAAGAAGCAGAATTGAAGCTAAAACTAAACGTCTCTAAATAAGACAAAAACAAAGGCAGTTTGCTGAAACTGATTTTAAAGATTTTTGAAGATGACGTGACAATGTCCGATGCATTTCTGTGGGGAAAATAATTGTAAAATTAAATATTTTTAAAAGTATAAAAGCTACAAAAAGTAACACTCATACCTTAATCTTGTGAATGAGCCGACCGTTTTGATATATGAACAGATAAAATGGCCCAAAGAAGTTGGACTGTTAAAAAAAGCATCATAAAGTAAATAAACAAACTGATTGATTACTCTGACTGTCACGGCGATCGATACTTGAGTGACGTTAGCATCGTGAGTTGTTGTTTTCTTGACGCTGTCTCAGTCCCATCACCCAGCAGCGACGCCTCTGTTCCCATGGTAACGCCAGCCCGGTCCCTGCTGAGGAACACCCCGGCCTCTCTGTTCAGACAGACTGGTAGAACAGACTACATGACGATCAAACCGTTTCATATTTGGTCACGTCAACATGTTGATCTCATGTCTCTGCTGTCTCGCAGTAACTCCCAGAGTTCCAGATGTTTCCTCCATTTTGGCGTCGGGAGTTCGGACACCTCGATTTGCGCACACGCCCCGAAATGCTTCGAGTAACGTGGTGAGAAACGCACCCGCGAGGAAACTTCCTCTACTTGTTCTTGTTAACTGAAGGTAACTGCGTCTGTTCAGTATTTGGACGACAGCGACTGGACCAACAGCTTTTACGCCTCCCCCACGTCCGGGGTGGAGAACACGAGCTTCTTCAACGACGACGTGGCCAACCTGAGCTCGGCGCTGCTGAAGGAGGACGACCCTGGAGAGGCAGGTGGGTGAAACGATCCCCTCGGACCCACACCTGGTACTCGTCACCGTTAACAACACTCTCTGATTTCTTCAGCGGCCGCCAGTCTTTTCCCAGAGTTCCTTGCTTCCTTTTTGAAACACTCTTCTTCTGCGGTGTTTGAGCTGCTGGAGGATTATCAGAACATCTGCCAGGAAAAGGTGGGTGTGAGAGACTTGTTTATTTTATTCTGTTGTAAGTGCCGGTAAATATTTACCTTCATTTGTACCAGAGGTCATCAACAAAATATTCATGGGGTAGAGTCCCTGGGCTGGAGACGACAAATAAAACCACATCTGCACAAACTCCTGGCAAAACTTTGGACCAAAATTCACCAGTTCTCTCACATATTGACACATAACGCAGCTCTGATGCTCTATAGAGCTGCAGAAACTAGACAGAGGTGGTTTTAAAAGACTATGGGCCTTTTTTTATTATTTTATTTTAAGCCATGTTGAAAATTGACCGAAGCGAGACCCTAAAAAACCTACAGAAGAAAATTTCTGAAATAATTTGAAAATTGCTGCAGAAATGCAATCAGAGTTAAAGAAATAGATTAGATCTTTTTAAGTTGGGTTCTACTGAAAGATAATAAAGAAAGCAGTTAACATCCTACCTGCTGCAGATGGCTCTTAAAATGACCTCAAACAGGTCAGGGTGCCGCTTAAAACAACTCGTCGCAAAAGATTCATAGCAGTCGGTCCGAATTCTACTTTATAAGCCTTTACACGGCATCAATTTCACAATAAAGTTATTTAGGCTGCAATATTCCTGCAGGAAGCTGCAGCTACTGATGTCCATATAAATAATTACACACGGCACAAAACGTGAGGAACCGTGGTTGCAACAATGCTTCCTGGCATCAAATCTTGAAAGCCTGTTCATTTCCTCTTAAATTGTGCTACACTTGTTAGGACACTACATTTGTGGGTACCCCAGGTGCTAACGAGCAGCAGCTGCTGGTAATCTGGGGCTGAGCTCTCGTCCCCACAGAGGGGGGCTCATCGGAGACGACCTCTGGGGGATGGAATGGCCTGCGTGCTGTCCTAACTTCAACCCACTGAACACCTGCGGGATCGGCTTGTTTGTGCTGTTCGTTTCTGAGTGACTGCGTAAGGAGGAGGTGCCAGGCTGTTTTAGCTGTATATGGTCCTTCCGCATGCTACTGAGACCCCTGAACAGTAAAATATTTATTACCAGGAAACATTGTTGCAGCAAAGAAATAATACCAAGCACAAGTTTACTTTCTTTTTGTGCTTCTATGATGTAAAATAAGATTGATGTAAAGGTTAAATCGTTGAGATTTGAGTTGTTTCTGGAGTCGAGCAGCTCACTTTGGTCTTGGCCACATCCAGTCTGACGGTTTTCCAGACATCTGCTGTCATAAATACTTTATTTTTGGTATAAATGGGTTAAAAAAAAAAAACAAGATTGCATTATAACCGGACGTGCTGACCGTGTTCAAGGTGGACGTGCTGCAGTCCATGGTGCTGAGAGCGGGTCAGAACAGTAAAACGGCAGGAGTCCGCTGGCTGCTGCAGCAGGAGAACTGCACCTGGAGGCTCGTCGCTTCGCTCTACAGGTACCGGACGGACGGACGGAGCGAACGGCCGCTGTCTCGTCTCAAATTCATCTCATGTTTGTTTCTGCAGGGATCGAGTCCAGTTGGCGCTGGAGGATGACATGATGATAGACATGGTTGTAAGTATAGTCGGCTGCTGACAGTCGGACGCATTCTTTACGTTTTTTTTCATGATAAAATAAAATCATGAACGTTATCCTTCTGGCTGGTTTTAACAATGAGCTGCGATTCAGCACTTATCGCTTTTAAACGTTTACTTGAAGGAAAAGCACTGGGTAGAAAATGGTTTCTGAATCCACTTTGCTTTAACCTGTGTGGTGTGACTGTATTCGTGTTTGCAGGATCCCAGTAAGAGTGAGAAGTTAGTGGTGGAGCAGCTTTTTCAGAGAGATGCCGTCATTCGACAGAGTCAGGTAAAACCCGCTCCACGAACGAGACGTTTCCAAGACGTTAACCGGAAGAGATGAGAGGAAGTTTGTCTTTGATTAAAAAAAGTGACGCAAAGATTTAAAATGTTCATAAAATTTGGATTAAAGACCTTCATCATCGTGGACGTTCAACTAGTCTGACGTCACTGAGTAATATTTAACTGAACCTGACTATAACCTGGTTCTGTTAACTACAACTCCTGTAGACTTGATAACAAAAGGCTAGCTAAAAGCCAAACATAGCAAAGGGCTAGCTAAGAACTCAAAGAAAAGGCTAGCCAAAATTATCAAAAGGGTAGCTAAAAGCTAAATATATTGAATGGTTCGCTAAGAGCTAAACGTCTCCACGGGCTAGCTAAGAGCTAAACGTCTCCACGGGCTAGCTAAGAGCTCAATGTCTCAACGGACTAGCTAAGAGCTAAATGTCTCAACGGGCTAGCTAAGAGCTCAA